GTATGTTTCATTAGAAAAGCCCACCCCAGGGCCAGAAAGGAAGACAGCTTCCATCCCCCATCTATTCTATTCCACATAAGTGGCCATCTGCTTTCTCCTGTCCCTCTGGCGATGCATATGATACCACTTCACTTGAGATCCATCTGTGTCCTGTGTCTCCTTTGAGGGTGTGACCTAGTGGCTCCTCTGGGCTCCAACCCTTATCATACCCCCAAGCTCCCAGAGCAACCCATCTGCCTCCCAGCTAACCTTTAGCAAAATTAAGCACCTCTCTACCCAACCTTTTTACCCTCATTCAGTGAAGAATGCCTTACCACCCTAGACTAAGAGTTCAAAGATGCCATTCCTTCGGATTCTTCGGGTGAGGAAACATGGAAGAACCCAAGGTCCAAGGGCTGTTTTTCATATGGGTGACAGATGATTAGTACACAGGCAAAAAAAAAATCATCATTACTAACAAGAACCATTTCTGGTCAAAACAACGGGAACGTGACAACTCTTCAGCTCAGGTTTGGTTTCCCATTCAACCCTTGAAACAAGCACAAGGTCTCCTCTAGAAGAACAGAGAGGGGTTGAATGAGGGGGTGGGAATTGGGGGGGTGGAGGCAGGGAGGGGACAGCATTTTAGCAGCCAATTCAATAGGGTGTCAAACAGATGGCAACCATAAATTTAAAAAAAAAAGAGGAAAAAAAAGAATAAATAAATAATGCCAGTGCTGCTCTAGGGCTGCCCGGCAGAAATCAGAGAGATCAAAGGAGAAACCCCATGTTTTCCTGCTCTGGCCTCACCTGACCAAATGTGTGAGCAATCTGGAATCTCTGCCCAAAACAAGCTCTTTTGCTTGTTATTTTGTTTTCTTTCTCCTTTTTTTTTCCTTTCTCTTTCCCTCTTTCTCCATTTCTTCCTCTCCTCTTTCTCTTCCTCCTCTCCTTTTTACCCTTCCCCCTGCTTTGGCTCTCCCTTCTTTCAAATTAATTACTCGAATAATGATGAAGCAACAAGTGTGTACAAGTCACCATACAAGGTACTGAGGACACAAAGACAAGAACAGAACAGTCTCCTATCTTCCAACAACTTACAGTACACTGGAAGATATCATTTGCATGTCACATATTAAAAAATAATTTGAAAGGAGAGAAGGAATTCTCAGAAGGGGGATCAGAGAAAGCTTTGGGGAGGAAGCACCATCTGAACTGATCCTTGAAACAAAAAAGGATGCTGAAAAGTGGAGATAAAAACTGAGTGCATCCTAGGCATTGGGGACTTCTATTGCAAATACTGTACCCAGAAGTAGGAGAAAGACTGTTGAATCCAGGGAACTCAGCCCAGTCTGGTTGAAACATAAAGAATCTGAAGGGGAGTGACAGAAAATAAGCCTAGAAAGATACTAGATTGTAATGAGCTGAAGAGTTTTAATTTTATTCTAGAAACAATAGGGAATGTTTTAAACAAGGGTATGGTATGGCCATCCCTGTGCTTAGAAAGATTATTTTGGTACCTATGTGGAAGATAGATTGAAGAGGGGAAAGATTAGAAGGAGTGAAGCCAATTAGAAAGTGATTAAAATAGAGTAGGCAAGAGTTGATGAGGCCCTGAACTAGGGTGGTGGCCATGGGAGTGGAGAGAAAAAGACTGATGTGAGCAATGTTGTTGAGTTAGAAATGACAACTAATTGGAAATGTGGGCCTAAAGGCAAGAGAACAGTCAATGAAGACTTCACTTATGCACCTGGGTGACTCAGAGCATGGTAGTGCTATCTCTTTCTGTTTTCTTTCTTTTTCTCCCCCTCTCTCTTTTCCTTTCCCTCTCTTCTTTTCTGTCTCCCTTACCCTCACTGTCACTGTTCTCTCATGAAGTAATTATCTATATTGTCAGCACTGTAGTCATGCCGGAGAAAAATAGAATAATCAGCTTATATTTGGTGGGACGGGGATAAATAGATGGGGCAAAGGGAATTTTTTTTTCAGGGTTGGAGCTCCAAAGCATTTATTATTTTCTCTATTTCTGCTGTTCCAATTATCTGTGATCCTCTCACCCCCTACCTCATTGTCAATCAATCCATTTTTATAGTACTACTACATATAATGTGCCAAGAATTCTACTAGGTCCTAGTGAGGTAGGGAATTAAGATATGCATGATCCTTTCCTTGCCTGCTAGGTACTCAGAATGTAGCTAAAAAGAAAAGTCATGATATTAAATAGCAATTCAAGACAACAAAACAGAAAATGGCACAAGGAAGAGTATGATTGCTAACTAAATGATACTGAAAGCAAAAGGTATGAATTTGGAGAAGGAAGAGATCATTTTAGGCTAGCCTGCCTAAGACAGTAGGGAGATAATATCAGGGAGAAGATGAGACTCAGTTTCTCCTTTACTCTTTTCTTTTATAGGTCTTCCTTTAACATTGACTTGTTGCCTACAAGTCAATAGTGCCATTTTGTTGTCCCATTTTTCACATTCCTGAACAGACTGAGTGGAGAAAGAAGGTATGGGAAAAGGAGGAGGAGGAGGAGAGGGGGAAGAAAAAGAAAGTGAGAGAGGAAATAAGACTGAGGGAGAAAGAGACAGAGACAGAAATATGAAGAGGCAGAGAGACACAGGGAGAGAGTCAGAGACAGAAGAAAGGATAGACTTTAAAAGAATAACAGACTCAAATACAGCAGAACAAATGCCAACTCCCAGTTACAACTCTGGGATAGGATTGCTTGGTGGAAGCAATACAGACATAAGTCTGCTCTTTACTAGCCAATTCCACTTAACAATCTTCATGATCTGGGTGTACCCATTGCCAGCCAAATTGGCCTTCAATAGCATCCTTGCTCTGGGCTCTATGTCCCTCCCTGGCCAATTCCACTTTAAAAACTTCTCTTGACCAGTTTCTTCCCAATCATAGAGGAAGCAATAGAAAAAGAGAGAGAAAGAGACAAAGAGAGAGAGAGAGAGAGAGAGAGAGAGAGAGAGAGAGAGAGAGAGGTGGTAGTTAGAGAGTGAGAAAGAAATCCTTTCCTTTTTTAATAGTGAACTGGTAGAGATGGAACCCCAAAGGCTATCATGGCACAGAACCCTCTTTCATCACATTCAAAGCAGAGTCCAGAGAAGTCTTCAGTACATAAGTGATAGGGGAATGAAAAGAATACCATTACTGCATGGGCAGTGGAAGTTACCAATTGTGCAGATTGGTGGAGGTGGACAAGGCAAATTCCAAGACTACAGTACCATAAGCCCGCATGCAAAGATTTCAACCACCTTCTTAAGTGGCAGATACCAGTTTTTATTTGATTCTAAACAGAGCCAGGGCATTAGGGAAGTAACTGATAGTTGGGATTCAGAGCACAACTATGTATGGCCTATGAGCTAAGAATAGTGTTTGCATTTTAAAATACAACTTTACTATTATTTTTAAATTATAAACATCATTCTTAGTTTGTGGGCCATACAAAAACAATTGACAGGCCACATCTGGCCAGCAGGTCATAATTTGTAAACCCCTGATCTAGTCCAACTCCCTCATATTACTGTTGAGGAAACTGAGGTACACTGTGGTTGTAACTTGCCCCAGGTCACATAGGTAGGAGCAGAAGCAGGCTTTGAATCTGGGTTTTATATTGTTGGTTGTCATCAAAAGCTTATACGCCTCCCCCATTCTATTCTAGATGTCCTCTTTACGCTGGTCCTTTGACGAGATTCTCTCACCTTCCTCAATATTACTTTATGTGTTTTTTTGGTCTTTGGCTAGGCAATGGGGTTAAGTGACTTGCCCAGGGTCACACAGCTAGTAAGCATTATGTGTCTGAGGCCACATTTGAACTCAGGTCCTCCTGAATCCAGGGCCAGTGCTCTATCCACTGCACCACCAAGCTGCCCCCCAATATTATTTTAAAGACAAGTTGTTGTTATTGGTCCCCTATCCTTGCAGTTTTATGGGTGATAAAACATAGGCCAGAGGAGTTTTATCTGTGTTTCAGTCTACCAGTTTCACAGGTGTAGGAAATGCCTTTTGAGATGCCCCTCTTCTAACACTGCATATCACCAGTTGCTTTATATCATAAAATTTCAGAGAGCTAACTGGGTTACCGAGATGCTACATGATCTATCCAGGGTCATACAGTCAGTATGTGTCAAAAGTATGATTCGAACCCAGGTCTTCCTGACTTCTAGCCCAAGTCCCTCACCATTTGTCCATGACATACATCTCTACCTTTAGTATCTGGGTAAAATATACTTAGCACTGTAAAACCCAGATTCAAAACCTGCATCTGCTACTACTACCTGTATGACCTGGGGCAAGTTACAACCACTGTGCACCTTAGTTTCCTCATCTGTAATACAAGGCATTTGGACTAGATCAGGGGTTGACAAACAAAGGCCTGCTGACCAAATATGGCTGTCACTTGTCTTTGTATGGCCCACAAGCTAAGAATGGTATTTATAATTTTAAAATAACAATAAAATTTGTATTTTAAAATGCAAATACTATTTTTAGCTCACAGACCATATAAAAGCAAATGACAGGTCACATTTGGCCAGTAGGTCATAGTTTGCTGACTCCTGGACTCTGTGCTCTCTAAGGTCCCTTCCATTTCTAAAATCTATGAGCTTATGTATTAATCCTCTTATCTTAAGTTTTTCCCCAAAGTTGACATCTTACAACAAGACCTTCATGGCAAGAGAAAAAAATTCCAGTGTTCCCTTGGAGCTTGAACTGGTCTTTGGTTTTCTATTTCTGTTTCTTACCACCCTTCTATGCAGTAACAACATGTAAGCATAAATCATAGCAGCTAAAAGCCCAAGACAAAACAGTAACACATCCCAGATAAAAAAGGAGCAATTGATCTCCTCAACTCTTCAAACCCAGTAAGGTGATACAAATCCTCCAACAGCCTCAGTGAACAGTAGGAACCCTTCTCCACTCAGGGTTTTCTTATGAGCTCATGTTTTATCCTAATGAAAAAATATCCCTAGATATGGCAGCATTGTGCCTGAAGAATATCTACCTACCAGTATAGAGGTCAGTATCTGTGTACTCATCCACCTTCTTGTGCTGAATAACATAGTCTGAGACTTTGGTTCCGATAGCTGGTTGGACATCCACCCACTCAAGGGAGACCACAGTACTGGAAGGTTCTACTCCAGGGGACAGTCGAAGTCTGGAGTGGAGTGAAAGAAGGAAGATTGCTTGGTTGTTGTCCAAGTTGGCATGACCACCCCAAAATACACTGCTCCTCACCCCCCAGGTTCCAGATCAGGCTACTCTGAAGAGTTCCTAGATAAGATAGGTCACTGTCTGAGAAAGCGGAGATGTTGCAGATTCCCTGACTGGTCATCAAGCTGATGCCTTCCTGTTATGTAAAGAAATTTACAATTCTTGGATGAAACAATGCCCAGGCCAAGTTTTGCCCTTGATTTCTCTGACTTCCACTGTACCGCTCCCCCATCCATGTCCCTGCTCCCCCAAGCTCTCAGACTTTCAGTTAAATATTTACTTATTTAAGAATTAACACACAAGGGGAGAGCTAGACTATGGAGATAAACTCCTTTTACAAAGTGAAGAATCCTTCTGCAAAAGGGATTGGTTCAATAGTTGGAGGGCCCCTGCTCTTAATTAGCCTAGGTTTTCTCATATATACATATATACATATATATATACGGGATCACAATTCCATTATTGCTTTGCAAAAAACAATTTTTAAATCATATTTTGGTCAACCTTTTAGTGATAAGCCTTCCCAATATGGAATAACATGAAGTCCATCACCAGATGTGAAATACTGGCCGCCTTGTTGGTTTGTTAGGTGGGCCCTGCCTTAGTCAGTGGTCTGGCTATCAAAAGACCAGAGCTACCTTGGCATTATCATGAGGGATCAGAGCAGGCCTTTATAGGAGGGGAATATGAATTGTTACCTACTAATGCAGCTGCCCATTGAGCCTTCTCTTATAGCCAACAAAACAGAACAAAACAAAACACTTATCCCTATCAGCAACAAGAACTCATTCAGGATATCTGACGGTTGCTGAGCTCCAAGAAGATGCAGTCAAGAAACTAGGCATCAACTTGAGAAACTACATAGTGGTGCCTGATAACAGAAAGATGATTAGGGGTGGGAGAGTTAGGGATGAAGGTCTGAGCATAGACGATCATCGGGAGGATATCAATGGGCTATACTCACACTGGTTGTGGGAGAGGGCTGCAGTTGGGGAGTCCATTTGCATCAAAGGCATTGAGGTCACACCGGCACCAGTCTTCAATCACATCTCCTTTTCCCGAACACCAATAGGAACTCATCAGTGCACTTTTGAAGGCCTAAAGCAGAGGAGAGAAGAGGTGTTGACAATGATGATGATGATGATGATGATGATGATGATGATGATGATGATGAT